CCCCCCCCCCCCCACCCCCCTCCGCGGCTTGGGGCTGTAAGGGAGAAAGGAAGAGGGTTTTCACCCTCTCCGCCTTCGGCAACCATCCAACACGCCCCCCAAGGTCGGCGGATATATATATGTACAAATACGATACGTCACTAAGATGGGAACGGCAGCGAAGCACTGTCTTCTGAGAGCCATTTGGCAAGTTGCATGTTAATTCTCTGACGTCCAAGCTCGCAATGGTAGTTTCTGGAGACAATCCATGTGCAATCCTGAGGAAGGTCCTCCGCAGTTCCTTTCCAAACATGTGCATCAAGGATCCTAACTTGCTGCGGGACCCCACATTTGCACATCCCTGAGCCCTGTGCTCCAAAAACTCTCAGCATCCTTTTAAGCACTTTCCGCATGTCTAACCTGTGAGACTAGCGCTTATTGAAACCAATGCCCAGGGTCCACGGAGGCCGCAATGCGTTGCTGCTGAACCTTAATGTGCCCGGCATTCATCTCCTTCCACGCCCAAACCTCAGGTGTCACGAGATGTCTCAGGCGTAGGGGCCTGAGAGTTACCCCGGTACCCCCATCATCAGATGGGAAATCGAATGGAAACTGCGTGTAATTCATGCAGAGGCTTGATGTAGTGATTGTAACATAGGGGCCCACACTGTGAGAGATAGGGTTCAGGGGTAGATTTTACTATAGCTACGTAAGGCTGGTAAGAAGATAACATGGCTAAAGTTTGCAGGCTTCTACAATCTTCTACATCAGGGGCCTTAGGGCTTATTTCGACGTGTATATTAAAGCTCAAGCTGGAGGCTTTGTGGCCCTAAATCTGGATCCCTGAAGCCTGGACCTCCAAACTCACAAAATCATTTGGAGTAGAGGGTTTCGGGTGTCCCAACATCTTGAATCCTAAGCCCTCAGCATGATGCGGGTGTAGCGTTTCGGGTTCCCTGAAACCCTTAACGCTAAACCTGCAGAATGATAGAAGCGTGTGGCAGCTCACACCGTCCGTCGGGAGCACATCCACACACAACTCTAGGCAGCAAACCCGAACCCTGCCAGCCCCGAAAAAAGCCAATAACAAACGAGGTAAGGTTTATTCTGTGCTCATTTAAAACGTATTTGACGGGAGCGCATGGTGGGGGGAGTCTAGGATCCTATGACAACAAGGATTCTATGAAGGCAATCCTAAGCCATCAACCCGAAATCCTAAACCCTAAGCCCTTGTCTTTAACAATTCCCACATCCCAGACGAAGGCACGCGTTTCAGAAAGTCTTCTCGACCCAGATCATGGCGCGTCTTCCCCTCCTGCTTCAAGTTTAGTAAGGTTAGGGTTCAAGGTCTCAAGTTTTGGACTAGGGCTTTGAATTCTAACATTCTGGCCTTCTAATTTGCTTCAACGCGAGCGGCATCCCACAGATTTCTGTGCGAGGAGGGCTCAGTATGTACAGGCATGGACGCAACCCTAAATGATGTCAAGGATGCCAAACAAGAACCCCTAATTGGTGGAAACCCACTGTATGCTCACAGGGGTTTCCAACACATGATTTCGTCAGATGCTCTGCAGGTAGCCTTGCACCAGGTAGCATCATACAACGCTGACACTTGGGGGCGTCTCTCGAAAATTCCTCTTGGACCCTGGACGGATGATCTAAGGAAGCCAGAAAAGCCTGGGAGAGCCAGGTTTCTGGTTTAGGGCTGGGTGTGAGCGTCATTGAGCGGGCGTGGTTCTCGCTCCCCTGACATGACGTCGGCGCTTTCCTCGGGCCATCTGAAACAACCACTGTCAAAAGCAATGTTGTCAACCATGACGCGATCTCTCCATATGAGGTGGGCCGAAAAACCGCACGCACAAGAAGCTGAAACACCACGAGCTGGTCATATATTCAGAGGTAAGCCTCTTTACCATCCCTTCGTTATCACTGCAAGCATATGGGGTAGCCCATACACCAGCCGTAAACCTTCCCAACACAAGCAGAGTAGCAGGGTGTAAAATTTAAGGGTTCGAAGGGAGAGCTTAGGGTTGAGGACCTATGGATTCAAATTCACATCCTCGAGTGTCCTCCTTCAGGAGGCGGCGCTCCACTACCTCATGCAACGCACACACTAGAGCCCAAGCCCTAAACCCTAGATCGACATGCTTTCTTAGTTTTAGTGGTGCAAAATGTGCTCTTCTCCAAGTTCCAGAGTTTTTGGATTTAGGGTTGATGCATCACCCAGGGCTTCGAAACTACTGTTCGCAGGCAACTCGAGTGGTGCAAGACTTCTTCCATCAACACAACGCATGTTCTGTGCACAAAAGTATACTGGGCGGACTTAGGGCTGAGCAACCTTGGCAGGGGGTCCAAACTCCTGGATGCATTTACCAGGTTTTCTTGGAAGGGCAATGGGATCTCTTGATGTGTCATGTGGGGGGCGGGATGGGGGAGGGGGGTCGGGATTTGCACATCTGATGGACTCCATCACGCTTTATGCATGAGTAGGGAAGCGCCCTAAATTCCAGGGTGCTTAACACAAAACCCTCCTCCCTCAGTCACATAACCCTAGAAAAGTGGAAGCTCCACAACATATAAATGCCTTGTCCGACACTCATGTCAGCCTCCGTTCAGCAAGGAGGTGGAAGCTTGGAGGTTGAGGCCTTGAGAATTTAAGGAATTCAGGGTGCGGGTACTGTGGTTACGGCCAGGAAGCCCAGGTTTTCAGACAAGTTCCCATCATTGATTATACCGTGGAAATTTTCTCAAAACAGGGGTGCTCTTGGAGACCTAAGGGGATACATTGGATATGTGAGAGCCTTTTAGGCGCCCTAGGTTTTTGAAAACCCGCTTTTGCGATTCTGTAAAAAAGGTTGCCGTAAAATTTCCTACAATAGACCTTCAGGACTACTCCCTGCTTCCCTGAACAGTCCTGTGAACCCTGCAGCTTCCCCTGCAGAAGCACTGCGAGATGCCCAGACAAGCCCTTGGCCCTACACCCCTGAAACGTGACGCCCAAAAAACCCCAAACCCCGAACCGCCCAAACCCTCCTAAAACCTCCTAAGCCCTACCAAACCCTGAAACGTCAAGACTCAGCTTTCGCCCAGGCACGCTCTGCGTGGCGATGCCGGCGTGATCCACGCCTGGCAGCCACAGTGCTACCTGAGTCTACAGGTATCGGGTTTCCGGGGCCTATACGGTTTTTGTCTACAGGGTGTGTAGGGTGTATAGGGAATGGGTTGAGGGTTTGAGGTTTGAAAGCTTTGGTTTTGGGAATTAGGGCTGTGGGGCTTGGGATTTGGAGCTTCTCAACGCCCAGCACTATGAACTGGACCAACAGCTGCCTCAAAGCCTGATGCCTCATCAATGGCCTCCGAACCTCTGAACTCGAAACGCAGGAAGTGCCCTGCAGCCTGCCGTAACCATCCGGAGTCTACATGGGACAACGTAAAAGTGAAACAGTAAGCTCATGTCCGCTGCGTACCCTTAAACCAAACAAAACAAGATACTTGGAAGTTCATGGGTAGTTCTAACGGGGCCTTAAGCGCGCGATATTTTTAAGTTCGAACTAACTATGGACTTGTTTAGGTTCTTGTAACAGTACCTGTAACTACTCTAAGCCCTGATCCCCAAACCTTGACACTTACTGAACCCTCCTATGCCCTGAGCCTGTAATCCTACGACAACTTCCTCGCGCTAGGCCGTGAATCAAATACCCAACATGCTAAGTCCCAACCTCCCACCCCACACTCAAAACTCTAAATCCTGAAGCTGAGACTCTGAGATCCTAAGCATTCAACCCTAAGCCGTAAACCCTAAGCCCCATTGGGTCCACGAGGCGTTGCCGCACATTCGATGCCACCGTGTCAAGGCATCCTCGATGGCACCAGTCCTTTGCATCTACAGAGGCTTCAGGGTATAGGGGTTACAATGACACAGGGATTATGAGGGTTCCACCTAAGGATTGCTTACAGTTGTTTGAAACTCCTACATGGTGCCATAAAGGGTTGAAGTCAGACCACCCCAGGGTCCCTGATCCAGCCTCTAGGCTTTGTAACTGGAAGTCGCGTAGAGTCATTAGAGACTGCACCCTGAACAGCGGTCTACTACAGTACCCTGCATGCACCGCTTTCTTCTGTTCTTGAGTCCTTAGAACTTAGACCTTGGACAAATCGCTGCAGCTTTTGCCGAGCGCTCATGGTAGGCTTTCATATCTAAGTCGTATAGTTGTTTACGCTCCTTCTTGCAGAGAGGTGATGGTTTGGGCACATTGAAACTTATCAAACTTTGGGATTTACACGACACGGATGAACTAACGAAACGTTGATCCGTCGACAAAAGACTATCCACCGAACGCTGGTCCCACAACAACTTATAGAACAGCTTGAACTCCGTGAACTTCCTAGGCCTGCTCGCTCAGGTTTCAAACTCGTTTGGGAAGACATCCTACAATCTGGGGCAGACACCGGAGAATTGGGGTTCAAAAGCCGAGGGTTTAGGGTTGAGGGTCTAGGGTTCCTTGGATCCGGGAATCCTGCTTTCCCGGCTAGCCATACTCTGCACAGGAATCTCACAGAGAAGTTCTACGAAAGAATTGTTGGAAGAGAATCTCGCGTCTTTGATGATGCGCGTGAGAAAGAGATTGCCTGCAAAACACATTTGTTGAAACAATTCAACCCAACAGCCTCAAACGCAATTGGGGCATCACTACCCCTCTACCGCAAAACTGCAGACAAGGGAAACATAGCATTAATCATTATTCGTCATATTTCTATTGTTCGTCCTCTAACATGCGAGCTATAGTCCAAACCCCTAGTATCCCCCTTAATAATCCCCATAATACTCGCCTATATAATCCCCTGTATACCCCTTTGACGAGCTTAACTAGATTATAACACACATGTATAGCAGACGTCAAGGCACCTGCTCCACAGGGAAATTTGCAAGTAGGCCTACAACAGCGATAACTGGGCATAGTACGTGTCTTATAGGGGTTGCAAATATATTTACCAAGTTTGGGGTTTAGGGCCAATACCCTCGACCAAGGATCGCCAGCTTTTGATAACCTGTCAAATCCTCTGACATTCCTATCTATTCTCAAAAGAACCTGTTCGAGCCCGAGAAATCCTCGAACTTGAGCCGAGACCCTTCGTGCTAAACACACACACTGGGATTTTGAAATTTGGGAAAGATTGCTGCCGTGGGGATTCGTAATCAAAGCGCCTACTCCCTTGTTGGTGTAACCCATAACATGGTATGACTGCTTTGCCCAGCAGCAGTGTGTGACCCAGGTGCAGCTTTCCAGTCACGTTCCTTGATGCGGCAAAGATCAAGATCAGGCAGGCTTGGATTTCGGGTGGGACTGAGCAGCTGAACGATTAGAGTTAATCCCAGGCTTTGGTTCGCGTGCTTTCTGGGAAGGTTCAGAGGTTGGCATTGTTTCAAGTAAGCTTTGCTATGAAGAGGGCTCGGCGGAACGAGATGCCAACGGTGGCAGCTGCAAGGAGGAGCCCTCTGAACGGTACTG